TGTCCATGTATGGCATCATGAAGGGTGGTCAACACAGATCTCACTTCGGTGATGGCTGATAAGATCGTGTCTCCTCAGAATGCTTTCCTTGTCTTTCATTGTCTTCTCCTCTCTCCACCCGTTACACAGCAATCTACCCTAGCTCACAAGCTCGCAGTGATTCGTCTTGCCAAGCTGGCAATCCTGACACCGATGACGAGAGCAAATCTGACCGGAGAGGAGCTGACGGCTGAGCGCGCCGACATGCTTGTCGAGGCTCGTCTCGCTGCCCTCCATGCCGACTACGAGGCGACTCTGCGTGCTGAGCAAGACCGCGCCACATCGCCAGCGGCCGACGGCTACGAGTGCCTCCTCGACAGCGAGCCGCACGTCAACCGTGGCCCGCTGATGGAGGATGAGGAGGGCTTAAGCACCAGCGACCCGTGGCAAGACCAGGAGCAGTGGGGAGAGTTCGAGGGATCCCACGTGGCGTCGGAAGCGACCGCTACGGCTGACCCGACAGACGACTCGGAGAAGGAGTGGGCGACCTTCACAGACGGAGAGGACGACACTCACAATGGGGAGGGAGGAGAGGGCAAGGGCAAGAGAGAGGGGAAGGAGAAGAAGCACCGCGGCACATCAGCTGGCCGGCCCACCTCGGCGAAGAGTGAGCGCCCCTCCCGGCCGCTGTCAGCTGATGAGATAGCTCTGATCAAGCAGACGATGCAGCGCATCCACCCGAGGCCCTCCACACGGGTGGTGTGCCAGCTGCCTGTCGATGACGAGGGCTTCCTGCGCTTCTGCTTCTCACGCCGCATGCAGGGCGATGCCACTGGTGGGGCTGAACCTGCCGCCAAGAGGGAGGGGAAGGGGAAGAAGGGGTAGTGAGTGGTGGTGCTGTCGCGTTGTGAGAGTGGAGTGTGTCATTTGATTTGCGGTGGTTGGTGACAGGACAGCACTGACGTGTTTGTTCTTCGTGACTTCGTTTGATGCAATGATGGATGCGACGTGACTCCAATGAAATGATGAATCGCACAACGGTTACGTCACACGCATCGCATCCAAGGAGGTCCGTCACGCACAGCCAAACACCCCTCTCAAAATCATGCTCAGGCCATGCCATGCCATCACGTCACCAGTCAACAAGTCGTTTGTGCAGTAAGTACCATATATGAACGAATGGGACGACATGACATCGCACACACGAATGGAAGAAATGAGCAGGAGACCTGCCTGCCTGCCTGCCTGCCTGAGTGTGTCGGTCCCATCGCACACATCCCCAGAGCGTCATGTCATCGTCAAGTTGGCCAACGGAGCCAGGCCAGCCTCCCTTGTTTGTGTGGATTCATTAAAAGAGGAGGGAGGGAGGGAGGGATGAACCACAGAGAGTGAAAAGGAATGTGACCGAAAGAAACAAACCCCATCTCATCTCTCATACGGACGTGGCCGGAGGACTGACTCGACCTGACCCCACGCGCCCCCTTCTCCCTCAGCCAATCCAATCAACCAGGGCGGGCCAGAAACAATCTGCATCCCTCCCTGCCTCCCTGCCTCTCTCTCTCTCTTCTCTCTTGCACCCCATCCCCTTCCACATATCTCTCTCTCACGTGGACATTTCCTGTGCCATCTTGATGGCCCGTGACTTGACCTCCTCGAGGTCGCCCACCATGTAGAATGCCATCTCGGGGAACTCATCGCAGTTGCCGGCCATGACCTCCTTGAACCCCGCTATCGTCTTGTCCAGCTCCACGAACCGCCCGCCCTTGCCCGTGAACACCTCCGCCACGAAGAAGGGCTGCGACAGGAAACGCTGCATCTTGCGAGCCCTCGCCACCGTCAGCTTGTCGTCCTCGGAGAGCTCGTCCATGCCCAAGATCGCGATGATGTCCTGGAGCGACTTGTAGTCCTGCAGCACCTTCTGCACGCCGCGGGCCGTGTCGTAGTGCTCCTGCCCGACGATGGTGGGGTCCAGCATGCGCGAGGTCGAGTCAAGGGGGTCGACGGCCGGGTAGATGCCCAGCTCGGCGATCTGGCGCGACAGCACCGTGGTGGCGTCAAGGTGGGCGAAGGTCGTGGCGGGGGCGGGGTCGGTCAGGTCATCGGCCGGCACGTAGATGGCCTGCACCGACGTGATGCTGCCCTTCTTGGTCGTCGTGATGCGCTCCTGCAAGGCCCCCAGGTCGGTGGCCAGCGTGGGCTGGTACCCCACGGCCGACGGAATGCGGCCCAGCAAGGCCGACACCTCCGAGCAGGCCTGGGTGAAGCGGAAGATGTTGTCGATGAACAGCAGCACGTCCTGACCGCCCTCGTCACGGAAATACTCGGCTATCGTCAATCTGACACAATGAGATGAGATGACACACACACACAAAAGACACACGGATGGGACGGATGGCACAAAGGCAGATAGACAGACAGGAGTGCATGTGCGTGGTGGTGATACCCAGTGAGAGCGACGCGTGCGCGTGCGCCTGGGGGCTCATTCATCTGCCCGTAAACCAATGCTGCCTTGGATCCCGGCTCGCCACGCTTGATCACACCTGCACACACCAACGCACCAACACACACACACACACACCCTGTCCTCTGTCGGCCACCAACGAGTGCGCTATGTCGTCCCTCACCCACCCGAAGTGATCATCTCATGGTAGAGATCGTTGCCCTCGCGCGTGCGCTCCCCCACGCCAGCAAAGACGCTGTACCCTCCGTGTGCCTTGGCGACGTTGTTGATGAGCTCCATGATGAGGACAGTCTTGCCCACCCCCGCCCCGCCAAACAGCCCGATCTTGCCGCCCTTGGCGTACGGCGCCAGGAGGTCCACCACCTTGATACCTGTGATAAGCACCTCCGGCTCAGTCGACTGGTCCTGGAAGCTCGGTGCGGGCCTGTGGATGGGCAGGGTCTTGCTCGTCTTGATGGGGCCCATCTCGTCTATGGGCTCGCCGATGACATTGACGATGCGGCCGAGGGTCTCGTCGCCAACCGGAACAGCTATGGGGTTGCCCGTGTCGATGGTCCGCTGCCCTCGCACCAGGCCGTCAGTGCCGTCCATTGCGATGGTGCGGACGGTGTTCTCGCCGAGATGCTGCGCCACCTCTAGGACGAGGCGCGACTCGCGGTCCTGCACCTCGAGCGCATTCAGGATCGGCGGCAGAGGGCCGTCGAAGGCCACATCCACCACGGCACCAATCACCTGAGTGATGCGGCCCGCCTGCTTGCCTTGATTCGCTGCTGCCGGGGTGGCTGGCGTGGGTGGTGCCTTGGGTGCTGCTGCTGCTGCCGCCGCCTGTGCGAAGCTGCGCACCTGGGATGCAAGAGCTGATCTTGGGATCTGATGACGCGGCCACGTGCCGCACGCAGCGGCGGCGACCTTGCGCAAGCTCCTCATTGCCACACCTCACAAGCAAAGCATCCAAAAGCTCTCAAGCTCGCAACTTGAAGGTCGATCGCACAAAGGGAGGTGCTGTTTTCGGCTATTGCGGTCCTTTGGAGGGACGGAGAAGCGATTGAAACAGCGGAGGAAAGAAAACTCAAAGGAATAGTCCAGAGCATCGCGAGCCGACTGGGTGGAGCTCTTGATGGATTCGGGAGAGCTCAGCGGAGGTGCAGCAGGGCAGCAACGCGGCGGCAACACGGCCGCGCAGATGACATATGCTTACGTGCTGCCGCAGAATGGCGGCATCGCGCCTCAGGCTCAGCCTGGCGGGCACACTGCCGCACCCTTGATGGATCCTTACGGGCACTACAGCGGATGGCAGGGGCAACAGCAGCCTGGTATATGGGATAAGCCACTGGTGTGGAGAAAACAAACGCCCCGCATGCAGAAAGCAAACATCACACATCACTGGTGGACTGCTGTGTGTGGATGGATGGATGTGCTCAGGTTCGTCGACGTCCACGATGGCCATGATGCAGCCCTATTCTCTACACGGGGCGGCGGCGGCGGCGGCGGCTGCCGTGCCGATGAGTGGCCCATCGCCTGGGCCCCAGCTGCCCGTGTACCCCCCCGCACCACCCCGCCACACTGACCAGGCTGCCTCTGCTGCTCAGAATGGCGCCTCCTACACCACCCAGCAGCTATGTGCGGCATACCCCTACGCCATGATCCCGCAAGCGGGCAGCAGCCACCCCCCACCCCCACACCCGCCCTTCAGGTCATCCTCAGACGCCAATGGATTCCGACACCCCATGTGGCCGCAACCCTGCTACCACCCCCATCCCTCGCCAGATGCGCAGACAGCCCAAGCAGTCCCTCCCCCGCCCGCTGCGGGTTCGTCACATCATCGCATCGATGGCTCGGGCAGAAAGAGGGACAGGCCGCATGACGTTGACGAGGGAGAAGAAGCCAATGGCGACCTGTCTTTGATGGGCGAGCAGTTCTATCAAGCGATGGGTTATGGCAACGAGGAGATGACAGCCAATTGCGCCAACGGCGATGGCCTGCTTGTGGTTCAAACGCGGCACGGCCCCGTGACGCTCGACCTTTACAGAGGCCTTCGTAACTCAGAGGCGTTTGGGGCTCCAGTCAGGGGGCCGAGGGTGGGTGAGAGGAGCACGGCCATCACCGACAATGACCACTCATCCGCCGACTGCCTGCTCGAACCCGCCACACCTCCCGAACCGCCCATGGACCCACCACCACCACCAGCAGCGGCAGCAGCACACCCCCCTTCAGGACCACAGCCACTAGCCGAAATAGGAGGAGATGACATAGGGCCCAGCAGCCGAGTCGCGCTGAAGCCGCCGGTCAAGCGCGTCAAGTCGCACCAGTACGACGTGCAGAAGGAGAGAGGGCACCGCGCGGCGTATCGATGTTCCCAGGGGGCTGCCAGTCATGCGATGGGGCAGCGGGAGCAGCAGCTCCACCACCAGCCGGTGATGCGGATGATGACCAGCAGGAGGGAGGAAGGAGCCCCTCCCTCCCATATGAATGGCACTGGTGAGAGGGAGGGAGGGAGGGAGGGACGGGGGATGAAAGCGCCTTGTCCCTTATGTTGTCTTGTGTTGTCTTGTATTGTGTTGTGTTGTGCTGTGTGTGAGTGTCAGGTCCGGTGGCGATGTCTATCTTCCCGACGATGCCGCGGCTGGCAAGCACCACCCCTGACGAACAGTCACATCCTGCCGCCCTCCCCGCCCCCTCCACTGCTGCCAGTGCACTATATCAGCCTTTGCCGAACCAAATAGCAGCAGCAGCTAAAGACCTAGATGCACCACCCACGATGGCTGAGGTGGCGAATGCCCTGTCGGGTGTGAGCAACGGGCGTCCAGTAGTGGCACTGGGAGGCCAGTCGTCATCAACCCCCCCAGGTGGGCGGGTTTCTGTCGGTGTGCCCATCCTGCACGACGAGTGACATGACAGAGCCATCCATCGTGGCTGGCTGGCGTAGATGGCCATGGGTTGAAGGCCATGAGTGAGGTGAGGTAGTGTGTGTGTGTGTGTGTGTGTGTTTGTGTGTGTGTGTGTTGGTCGGGCCAGTGAGGCAGAGAGGCTAATTACGGCGAGTAAGCAGCACTCACTCATTCACTCACTCACTCACTCGCGTGTGTGTGTCCCTCCTCAACCCCACAGTGTTTGGTTTGGTTGTGCATAGCAAGACATATAAGATGGCGCGGACTACTGTCCATGTCGTAATTCAACCATTTAGGGCCAGGTGGCGTGCGATGAGTGCGATCCGCGATCTCAAATCGGTGAAGAGGGACGCGCCAACGAAGAGAGCGTAGATCTGGACAGCATACATCTCGCTCATCTCATTGCAGGCCTCCAAGGACAGATCGGTCCTTTCCTTAACTGCCATCAGCCATGAAAGGTCCTTGGAGGCCATCATGGTGCTTCCCGCTGCTGGTGTCGCTGTTCATGGACATCAGGACGCTGCACGCCCTCTCCCCTCCCTCGCTTGCCTTCAAGGTACGGCCGAGGGACAGCCAGACGGCCAGGCAGACGGAGCGTTCTGCACAGATCTGTGGAAGGAAGCCATTCATCCCCTCACTTGTTTGATGTCCATGTGTTGTGTGCAGGGTGGCTTCCGAGGCTCCAAACAACCGATTGTATGCCACACACCGGACAGCCAAACGAGCCAGCCTGTGATAGACAGTCCACCCAACGGAACGCACCCCCCTTATGTCTGTCGTCTGTTTGTCTATCTATCCCCAGGAGCTCTTGTCGTCCACTGGCAAGGCGGCGAGTGAGCGGGAGATCACTCAGTTCCTGGGCGAGCTCGCCCGTCAGGACACCAAGGAGGGCAACCTGCCTGTCATCGCCGCCATCGGGCCGGGAGGGCGGCGGAAACGCGCCTTCCTCAACCAGCTGTGTGGGTCGGACCTCGACGCCTCTAAGTTCCTACCAACCGCACCAAGTGAGTGAGATAGATGACAACACGACAGCACACAACACACTGGCCAGCCCAGCCATGCTCGGGTCCTTAACCTTGCTGAATGAAGGTGCGTCGCTGTCCGGCGCTCCGGAGATCGGCAATACCGCGGTGGTGCTGGATGTGTCGACGTTGGCCAGCCTGCCGGCCGACACGGACGAGGAGGACAAGCTGACGACGGGGCAGATGATGGCGCTGGCGTGTCCTCTGTGGGGCGTGTGTGTGCTGCCCGTATGGCAGAGCGAGGTGGTGGATGGCGGGGGGCTGCCGTCGTCCGTGTCGTCGCTGCTGCTCAAGGTGGTCAGGGAGGAGGTCCGCGGCAGGAGAGGTGCTGGTGGTGGCGGCAGGTCAGAGGGGAGGAAGGCAGGCCCACTGAAGATCATATTCGCCGTGCAGGTAAGTCAGTCGGACACAAAGCCCTAACATGCATCACATTCGTGACCTGACATGGGTGTTGTGGGTTTGTCGACTGACTGACAGGGTGGCGACGGCACGCTGTCGTCCAGTGACGCCACCAAGGCTTTCACCAAGGGCATGAGCGACCTCTTCTCCGCTCTCGAGAAGCCTCCAGGCCTCCAGGGCGGCATGGCAGGCCTCGTCGACGTCACGGCTGTCGTCCTGCCGTCGTCCAAGTATCGCCCGCAGGAGTACCAGAAGGCCCTGGTGGAGCTGCGGCAGGTGGTCAAGGGTGCGGCGGACAAGGCCAAGAGCAGCCGCGGCGTGAGGGGGTCGCAGCTTCCGGGGACCGTGGGTGGCATGTGGGCGGCAGTGAGGGAGCGACTTGACGTTTCCACCGACAGCCCCTCTGTGGCAGTGCTCGCGGCATCGGCACACGCCACCAGCACGGCCGACCTGCTCATGGACGCTGCTAAGGTGCGAGGGTGTGCCTACTTTTATACCACGTTGGGAAGAATTGGATGTGGTGTGTTTGATCGGATCAATCAGGTGACATTGAGCCAGTGGAAGCGGCGTGTGGACCGCGGGACGGTGACGGATGACTTCGGCCACCGGGCGCACACCCTCATCACATCCACACTTGACCAATACGACCGGAACACACAGATGGACGGGGTACGGTAAATGCTTTATGCAAACCAAGTGGATGGATGGCCATGACGAGAATGCAATCCATACGCACGCTTCGCTTCACGACTGACTGACTCCTGCCTTTACCATGGATGGACTTGACTTGTTTGTCCGTGCAGCTGAGTTCAATGCGTCAGCGGAGACGCGACGAGATCCGATCGACACTCGAGGCCGACGTCAGGGACCTCTTCAACAGGCAGCTGGCACTGCTGCAGCGGCGGTCTTTGAAGGACCTGCGCGAGAAGCTCGTGGCGGCACTCACCCCGCAGGGCAGCGTCGAGGCCAACCAAGAGGCCGCCGCACTCAGACAGGTCAGTGCAGTCAGTACACCACCACCTACCCAACATGAGTTGATGGCTGCGATGCGATGCGATGCAGGTAGAGTTCACCTTTGACGAGTCGTCGAGCGATCTGCTGGTCAGCTGCATGGCCGACGAGCTCAAACCCGCCATCGACGAGGCCAAGAAGACCCTCATGGACCGCCTACGGGCCTACGCGGGCAAGTTCCCCGAGAGCAACGAAGCCAAGGTGCAGGCCAGGCTGCGAATGGAGGAGCGAATGCGGCCCCAGCAGCAGCAGCAGCGGGCGGGCGGCAAGAAGGCCAAGAGGGAGAGGGCCTTCGGCATGCGCCTGGCGCTGGCCAGCATGGTCAGGCAGGACGGCAACGGCAACCTACAGGGATTCGCCTCGTACGACGCCGGACCATTCTCCATGATCATGGGGTGCGTGGGCCACAGAACGCACAGGCAGCTGGGGGATATGAGATGTCTGACTGTCTGTCCGACCGACTTTGTGTCTGTCTGTCTGCTTGTGTGTGTGTGTGTGTGTGTGTTTGGTGTGTGTGGTGTGTGTCAGATATGCGAATGACCGGGACACGCCCGAGGCGATGCAGAACGGCGAAAAGCCGCCATTCCTCAGACTGCAGCCAAAGATACACCTGGACATCGACCTGTGAGAGGGGTGCCGTGCCACGGGGGGGAAACACACACCACACGAGAGATGCGATGCATGGTGCAGTAGAGTACGTCGGTGCAAGATGTGATTGATGGGCAAGATGGACGGTTTTTGTCGTGGCTGGCGTTGCGTGGTCTGCGAATGCAGTCGCTGAGCAGCTGCTTGTGTATGTTTAAATTTTTGATTTACTCACACGCATGAATCGGTTCGCGATCCATCCCACCTTCAAGTTCTCAGCTCGCATTTTGTCCTTCTGCTCGTCCATCCTTCCTTGCGAAAGACCAGGGAAATGCACTTGGACTGGTCAGGCCAGGTCGGAGGCTGGCTGCTGCTGCTTGCAGCAGTCATCGTCGCTCTCTCGTTTGACTTGTGGAGCATTCGGCGCCCGCAACAACAGGGCGGGCTGAGCATCGTCCAGGCCTGCCGCCTGTCTGTGTTTTGGATTGTGTGTGGGCTGGCGTTCGGTGCGTCCGTCTGTGTCATCAACGGGGTGGAGGCCGCCACATACTGGTCAGCTCATCCCGTGTGCTGTGCTGTGCCGTCGACAATACATATAACGGGCTTTCTGTGTGCTGTCTGTGCTTGCACTGCACTGGCTGCAGGGTTGATGGTTATCTGCTCGAATACATGCTCAGGTGGGTGAGGGGATGCATAGCAGTGAGTTAGTGTGAGTGACACACAGAGAAGGAAAGGAGTTAAAGGACGGGACGGAGGCACATGCACATGCACATGCACATGCACATGCACATGCACATGCACATTTGTTTGTTTGTTTCTTCTCTGGCGGCTTGGCTTGGCTTGCGTGTCTGCCCTCTGTCTGTGTGGCTCTGTGTCTGTCTGTGTCACCAGTCTAGACAATCTGTTTATTTTCCACCTGGTGTTCGAGACTTACCACACACCCGATGCCCTCAGGAGGAAAGCCCTCTTCTACGGTGACTGACTGACCGACTTCCCGCACAGACAGACAGACAGACGAGGTGGCATGGCCTGGCCTGCCTGGACAGACAGTGACGAACGTCTGTGCCTTCCTGCCTTCCTGCCTGCCTCTCTGTGTGTGAGTAGGTGTGGCTGGAGCAGTGCTGTTCCGCCTTATCCTGTTCGCCCTGTAGGCGTTGAGTGGTGCATGTCTGGAATATGCATACCAGTCAGTACGCCCCTTGTGTGTGTGTGTGTGTGTGTGTGCAGAGCTGAGTATTTCATGCACCTGATGTTTATCGCGCACCTGGTCTTCGGCGCATTCCTGTAAGTCAGTTAAGTCAGCCGAAAGGAGAATCCCTCCCTCCCTCCATGAGGCTTCCTTCCTGTTCGTTCTGTTTGTGTGTGGCGTGTCGTGTCGTGGCGTCTGTCCTGTCTGTCGGTGTGTGAGAGCAGCGTGTATAGCGGCGTCAAGACGGCTCTCCCCGGCAACGCTGACGACCCCGACCCCTCGCAAAACGCATGTGTCAGATTCATCACCCGATATGTCCCAGGTGAGCAGGGTGGGCAGGGTGGGTCGGCCACTAAGTGAACGAACCAGGCAGGACAGACACAGACATGTCAGTCAGTTGTCGTGCCTGCCTGCCTGTCTGCCTGCCTGCATGGATGCAGTGACTCCATCGTATGACGACAGCGGTGCCTTCTTCGTGCTCACGTCATCCTCAGCCACACAAGAAGAGGACGACAGCAGCGCCATACACCACAGACTCGATGACGCTGGTGCCCTGCACCCACCGCATCCCAATCCCCCTTCACATATGCTCTCCGACACAACCACAACTACTGTCACCGCACCAGCCACACCACCACAAGAGCCACCATTACACGAAGCAGCCGACAACAACCCAGCACCGAGACGGCGTGGCAGCGGTGCATCCGACGGCCCCCAGCTGACTGAGTACGAGCCACTGGACGCGACGATGGCCACAACGACGGACGGGTCGCCGTCGACGAGCGCGTCGACGCAGCCTGGTGGGCAGGGACACAGGCAAGGAGGTGGGGGGGTGAAGATGGTGGGTGGCGTGAGGGAAGATGGTGACGGTGGGGGGGTCGGAGAGGGGCTTCTGCTGTCGAGGGAACGAAGGAGGTGGAAGGTGAGACACCGACAAAGACAGACACCGACACGGAGGGAGGAAGGCGCGTGTCTTAATTGTCGATCTGTCTGTGCTCTCTCTTTTTGTATGCATGTCATGCGGCCTGTCCAGGCCACTCTCCTCTTTGTGGTTGTGGTCTGCATGGTGGGTGAGCACAGCATATGTGGAGGAGACACATTAATTGCACTCAGGGGCGTACAGTACAGTTGGCTGGCTGCTGGATCGCATCGTTCGAACTATGCTCCCTCTCTCTCTGTGTGTGTGTGTGTGTGTGTGTGTGTGCATTGTAAACAGGAGTGTGTGGATCTTGTGTTTGCTGTGGATTCGGTCTCTGCGAAAAGCGCGCAGACGGCCGACCTCTTCATTGCCTATTCTTCCACGGTAAGCAGCCAACACACAACATGCACCACACAAGACAAGACAACACAACCAGCACAAAGCGTCCACACACACAGAACCTTCCTCCCGTGTGTGTGTGTGTGTGCGTATGGGTAATTCCTCCTCGTTAGGTGTTCGCCATGTTTGGCCTGCGGTCATTGTTCTTTCTGCTCGAGGCCGTCATGAAGTGAGTGAGCGACTCGATCTGATGTGATGCATGGCTTCGACCGAGCCCACCCAACGATGCGTGCGCGCGCGTGTATGTGTGTGTGTGTGTGTGCAGGTACTTCTCCCTCCTTCGGTACGGCTTGGCGGTGATATTGGTGTACATCGGCGGGAAGCTCATCATACAAGAGTGGATTGCATGGCCCGAGTACGTCACCTCTATCGTCCTGGTGCGCATTGCATTGCAGGGGGACCGACACACACTCACACACAACAGACAGACAAAACAGACCGATTCGTGCCTTGTGTGTGTGTGTGTGTGTGTGTGGTCTGGTCTGGTCTGCAGACAGCCGTGCTGGCGCTGTCTATAGTGGCGTCAGCTGTCAGTGACGCCCTTCGTCGCAGGGGGACACCCCACCAGCAGCAGCAGCAGCAGCAGGCGCAGCAGAGGGGTCAGTTCACGCGGCTGCCCGACCCCCAAGCGCACGAGATCGAGATGCAGCCCATCAGGCCGCTTGCCAAGGAGGGTTTCGCAGCACCAGCTGCTCATGAGGTGGATGTGGAGGCTGGGGTCGGTGTGGCGCGGGGGAGCTAGCTAGCTACACACACGTGTGTGTGTGTGTGTGTGTGTGTGTGGTTTGGTAGTAAGGTGGCGTGTGTGTATGTGCATACGTCTTTGTATGTGTTGTGTTGTGTATAGATGTCAGTCAGTACTGGCCAGCTGGTGCTTACAAATATATGTGTAGAGCGAGTGATTTTCGCCCAGCGTCCAGACGAGCGAAAGCATCAGCACGAAGGCAAGGCACAAACTCACCCACCACAATCGACCTTGTCAATTCACTTCCTCTGTGTCCGACATGAATGCAATGAGGTCTTCTCCCTCTAACTATGACGGACGGATGAAAAGGGAGAGGGAAAGAAAGGCAGTGACCGCACCAGCCCTACGACCCCTCAAACCGCCAATCCACCCATGGATGCACACCCACTGCACTCCCGGTGGAAAAAGCAAACATGCATGTCCCCTCCCTCCTCCGCACATACATACTTATGTGAATGCGGAGACACAGGGCAGATGAATGAACGATGAAGATAACCAAAACCCAGTGTGGTGCGATGTGGTGTGCCGCACTACACACGGCAAATGAATGACTGTGTGGCTCTCTCTCGCTCTCTCTCGCAGCATGAATGGAATGCATCAAATGCAACTAACCCAACCCCACGAATGAATGAATGGCACAGCGGAGGGCGGGCGGGCTTCCTTCGCCCTCCGCCTTAATTGAATCAGAACATGCAGCCGAACACAACCAACACACGTGAGTGACAAACTTTCTCAGGAACTAACTAACTAGCTAGCTAACTAACTAACTAAGTCGTAAGTCAGGTATGCATTGCCTGGCTCGTCGATCGGTTGATCAGGGTCTCAGGAGGTTGCGCCCTGGGCCATTCTCGTCAAGAGGGATGCGCCTGGGCGCGACGCCACGGATGGCCTCCTCCTCGACTTCGCCGCTCTCGATGGCCGTCTCGTTGCCGCGACGACGCTCACGGCATGTCAGTGTGACCTTTTCACGACTGAAGGAGCGACCATCGAGGTCCTGGAACACACACACACACCCGCACAGTTGCATCTCAAAGAGAGAGAGATCTGCCCCTCTCTCTCTCTCTCTCTCTCTCCACTTACTTGTCCTTTACACGAGAAAGAGTGTTCACCGTCCCACTGGTAGTCGAATTCCTTGCCCTTAGCGTAGTACAAGAAGCTGTCGCCGTCATCGATTTCGATAGCGTCGTCATGGGTATCCCTGCAGACACACATATACCCACATAGCATTCGTGTTCACGTCTGTCTGTTGCATGCGACACACACCGTACGAGCGGTGGGCACCTCTACGTGTCACCTCACTTCAGATAATAGCAGGTGTCAAAGGGGACCTCGTACCTGTAATGAAGACCACACACACACACAGAGACGATCGAGCGTTACGGTCAACGGTGCAGCTAACTTCTCGAGCTCACGAGTCACTCACGACCTCGTATAGGCGTAGTTACGTACGTACCAACAGTAGGAGATGGGCAAGGCCTGGCCCGATTTTGTGACTTTGACAGCGACGTGGATGGGACCCTTGCTGCAGTGGTTGCAGAATGTGATCTTGTGGGCCGCCGATGCCTCGAGCAACGCAAATGAGCTCACAAGAAGAGCAGCCAGGGCCGCAGCAACATACCAGCGGGCCATACTGACGGAAAGCTGAGTACGGGGAGAGAGCTGGATCTGGGCAAATGACGGATCGAGTAGAAAGCAGCCGGAGGGGTGGACAGAGGGATGGGAGAGAAGGTGGATTGGGCAGTGGGAGGAATCCGGTGAGAGAGTGGGAGCGGACTGGTGGATTTCGGATTGGCCGTTAGCATTGGGAAGTGTACCATTCCCAACGTTAACAGACAGTTTTCGATCGCAACCTGGCCCGCAACGTAAACGCTGCTTTGGGCGGTCCGCGCCTACCCCTCGATGCGTGTCATTTACCCGAGTCCCGGCCAAGCACTGCACACACCAGCACGACACTCATTGTTTGTCCACTCATCAATCAGCCATTCATTCAGTCCTCCACAATAGACCACTCGTTGGGCAGGGGACAGCCACGCCAGGCTTACATATCAACACAGCAACGAGGCAGGCAGGCGAGTCAGCCACTGAATGTACACACACGACGCACCGGTGATGCACACGGCCGTCACCAAAGGCAAAGAGCAAGGCAAGGCAAGGCAAGGCAAGAAATCAATCAAGGCAGAGAGAGGGAGGGAGGCGGAGAGGAAAGAATGAGAGAGAAGGTATCATATGGTCGTGCGTGTCTGTCTGTCTGTCTGTTGTCTGAAGCGATCGCGATGACCCAAAGCCATATTTATGTATGGGTTCGTTCCTCTTTCGGCCATCGATCGCATCGCATCGCGTGACGTGACGTGACACCCCCCCCTCCCACCCGCCATACCCCTCTGCACACATTCAGCCAGCCAACCAACCGGGCACCGTCCGAAACTACAGAGAAACGAGCATGCCAAGAAACAACAAACTTGTATGCTACACGGCACACACCCACACCGGCCGCAGACAGACATCCAGACATCCGGGCAGGCAGGCAGGCAGGCAGCCACACATGGAAAAAAATCACGTCAGTCATGGTCATATTGCCGCCACGACACACCTTTCGGTCATGGCTGGCAAAAAAGGCAACCAACGCCGCCAGAAGTTTTTGTTTGCACCATCAAGTCCCTCCCACCGCAGGCAGGCAGGCAGGCAGGCACGTATGAAGAGCGATGAATCCAGCCAGCCAGCCATCCACCATCAGTCAGCCGCGCATGTGGGCCTATAGCACACACATACAGCATCAAGCATCAACGTACACTTGTGTCTAATCATTGATCATCTGGTGTGTGTGTGTGCACGTGTGTGTGCGTGTGGGTGTGGATGTGTTTGGGTGTGTGTGTGTTTGTTATTATGGGTGCAGAATATCATCAGCTGTGGATTGGTACCAGTTTGATCTTCTGCCCCTGGATGATTTCGTTCTGTTTCTTCTCCTGCTGCAGGACGCGGTACAGCCCCACTATCTGCTCCTCAGACGCCTCGTCCTACATTGCACGACGCACACAACACATCACACACGCGTCGGCACCAAGGTCTTGGTGGGGATGGTGTGTGTGTTTGATGATGTGTGGGCAATGGGCGGGTGGCGTGCTGACCGGCTTGAACGGCAGTTTGTCAGCCTTCACCTTCTTGATGGCGTTCTTGGCGCGCTGCAACTCAATCGAGGCCTTCAGATCCTTGTACCTGCACACACAAGGAGGGAGGGAGGGAGGCAGGGAGGGAGGGAGGGAGGGGTATGCATGCTGTTCTCAACATCCCCATAAATATGTCTGTGTGCCTGGCCACCGACCACTGGACGAGCTGCCGGTCGTCGGCCGTCTCGGGGTCAAATCCTATCTTCTCGCCCTTCTTCACTGCAGAGAGAGGATATGGATCGTTGAGCATGGCTGGCTGTGTGTGGCGAGAGAGTTCCTCCCATACCCCTGATCTTGGATAGGGTTTTGGCAGATTGTTTGAGCTTGGTGAAGGCCTTTTTGTCCTCCAACTCCTGCAGAACCCCACGGTACCTGTCAGTCAGTCAGTCAGTGGGCCAATACCGCACCACACACACACACACACACACAGACGCACAGACGCACAGACTGACATTGGATGAGCAGAGGCTCTCTACTATGCTGGCTGGCTGACCACGTGGTATAGTCGTCATTGGTCCATCCCTCCGTCGACAACTCGCCCTTCTTAGACAGACGGCGCGCCTTCGCCCTGCACACCCAGCACACCCAGCACACCCACCAACACCCGGAAGTGATGCGATCGATGTAGCCAGCGACGGTCGAGGCTCTCTTCCTTCCGTACTTACTTGGCTGCGATGACGGTCACCTTGGGCTCGGCCTTCCGCACCTCAGTCTCCTCCACACGCTCAGCCTGGCGTAAAAGGAGAGAGAGATAAAGGGGAGTGAGCGAAGGCAGGAGGGTGGAGTGTGCGTGTTGTGTTGTGTGTGAGAAATGGCAGGCACCTGCCGCACGAGTCTGGCCTCCCGCTGGTCCTTCAGGAACTGCTTGTACCAACCCACCAGTCTAGCGTCCGACGGCATCCTGACCGACAGACAGACAGAGAACCAGACGGACGCAGTGCATGACGGCGGCTCCTATGTAAGAGAGTGTAAGTGTGTGTGCGAAGGCTCACTGTGTGATGATGTTCTTCTCCAGTGCGGCCTTGGCCTTCTTGCGGGCGCGCTCTATCTCGCGAGACGCCTTGGCAGCCTCCTGACACACATGACATGGTCAGTCAACATGTCAGTCAGAGTCAACACACAGCCGCTGCCTCCCTCGGCATCCTACAGGCAGGCAGGCAGCTGACCTTTTCCTCCTTGATAGCAGCCTTCTGGTTCTTGTACCAGGCCACCAACGCATCCCGGTCGTCGCCAGATGGCACCCTGCACACACAGACACCCACCCACCCATGACACCGACCGACCAGCTCCTCGCATAAATCGATCCATCTCCTCCCTGTGCCGCATGGCATGGTGCTTACTTTGCGTTGGGGTCAGCGGTCTTGAACGTCTCTGCTAGTTTCTGCGCCGCTTTGACGACCGAGGTCGACACCTTGGCGCCAGCCTTGGCCGCCTTGGCCCCACGAGCAGCCGTGGTCTTGCCAGCAGCCGCAGTGGCCGCGCCCCTCACGCCAACGCCCCCAATCTCCAACAAACAGCGATACTGCCACACACCAGAACACAACACAACACAACACAGAGACAGAATGCAATGCAGCTGTACTATCTATCGGTGTGGGTATAGAGAGAGGGTGTTGGCTTGCAGCAGCGTGCCTTGCCTTGTCAGCGAGTTTGAAGCCGTCCGGTCCGACGTAGGCCATCATGGACGGCGAGGGCAGGACCACCCTATGCATCGGGGAGGCCTGGTTGGCAGTGGGGGACACAAACATCGAGTGCGGCGTGGCGGCGAAGTAGCGGGCGCCTCCACAGGCAGGCCCAAGCATGCGGGCCGCCGTCGGGGCGAACGGCAGCTGAGGACACCGAGCAATCGGCAGCCGCAGCGAAGACATCGCGAATTCGATGTGTTTGGGAACTCTATGCTATCCACTCCAACAACAGCTACGGTTTCACCCGGTTGGAACGTTTCTGAGCTCAAGCTCGACCCCAAGCTCGCAATCCTGTTCCGCTTCCTCTGAAAAACAGGTATTCCTGATACTGTTCCTCACTCATCGAGACTCACTTGGCCAGCTCCGAACAGTCTGCAATGAGTGAGCGCATGTTTCTGCTTCGGACGCCTCACGAGGTCCGCAGCCTCTCACACGGCTATCCCCGGACATCGCAGGCCCTCCGCTCCATCCTCCACCGCATCAAGACCGGCACACACCCATCAGCTGAGGACGCCCGCACACCAGAGGCCGAGGTCCCATGTTTGGAGGCTGCCATTGAGGCCTATGAGTCCCTGAAGCAAAAGAGCGACGGGAGCTTCACCTTCTGGCGGGATTTGATGCCCTGCGTGTGGTCGTGGGTGTGCGAGGAGGAGATTCTCGGCGGCATGTCGCCGGCTGTGTCGTCTGGTGGCGCTGCCGGGTGCTGGGACGGGGCGTTGGGGCTGGTGACCAAGCCGGGCGACCGAGTGGAGGTCTCCCGGAAGACGTGCCGCGCCATACTCGCTAACGCATTCCTGCTTAACCTGAGAGAGGTACACTCATCACTCATAGAGAGGAGTGACTGACGTGTGTATTGGATTGGATTGTGTGTCCTTTTGTTTGTTTCGGTGGATTAGGCGGACGAGGACGACACTGCAGGCATTTCTGAGGGCGCCGCATCGTCCCCCGCCCCGCCTCGGTTCGGGCAGCTGAGCTTCGAGGCCACCTATATCCTGCCGCGGAGCTCAAATGGCTTCCCTGTCGGCTTCCATCGGCTGCTGTGCTTCCTGGCGTACCTGGACCTGGCGGCATCCTTCGACGCACAGCAGCTGGAGGAAAGTGTGGTCATCGAACGGTATGGGAGAACAAACAGGGGGAGTGGGTGGG